CCCCAGCCTGAAACCACCCCCACCACGCACACAAGGCTGCCCAACCATTTAGTGCTGAATGGTTTTAGGTCTCGTGCAAGTGCACTGCACTTGACAGTTTATAAAGAATTTCCTCCCATCCTTCCATTGCCCTGCAGAGTTCAGGAAATCTCTGGAGTCGTCAATAGCAAAGGGTCTGGCAGTCCCTGGCCTACAGCAGGTATTCGAAGAATGCCAGGTCCAGGTCCTGCCACTCCCACCCGCATGATGAAATTTCAAATTCCAAAGGCCTTTCTTACCAAACGTCCTTCATCTGAGGAAAGGTTCATTTTCCAGCCACACAGATCCCTAAGCCTGGAAAGGTTCTGGCTCACAGCTAAGCTCTGTTGAAATGTGAAGTTGACTCTCCATCAAAATCCAGAAGAAATATTGTAGAAAGAAAGATCCTTGGTCCCTCCCACATGGAAGCAGGAGTAGGCCAAGGTCAAGGTCAAGGTCAGGGCAAAGACAGAAGCCACTGACTCCTCTCTTCCTGATGGAAAAGAGTTTCTCCTCAAGCTGCTGGTTCCCAGAGGGCAAATCCTGGGTCTCTGCTCTGTGGTGGTGTCCTACCACCAACATTTCAGTGCTCAAGATGTAGCTTGGGTGGCACTGCCTCCAGGAAGCCTGCCCTGATCCCTTGTGAGAACTGGCTGCTCCCTTATTTGCCTGCCCACAGCCCCAGGGTTTCTCCTACCAAGGTAAAGAGGAAAGTTTCTGTTGAAGTTTAACTCACAAGGATAAAGCACACAGATCTGAAGTACACAGCTCAGTGGATTTTCAGATGAACAGCCTGTGTAAACAGCATCATTGGGTCCCTCCCCTGCTGGTTACTATCCCTGCCCCAGGGTATCCTAACCCTGACCTCTACCCCATCAGTTAGTTTTGCCTGTTTTTGTGCTTTATGCAAACACAATCATCTAAGAAGGCCTTTTGATGTCTGGCTTCTCTCACATCATGTCTAGATTATGTCCTTATGCATAGTTGTAAGTGGTTTGTCCCCATTATGGCACAGTGTTCTCCTGTGTGAAGAGACCACAGTTTATCCATTTTACGACTGATGAGCATTTGGGTAGTTTCTAGTATGAATAGTACTGTTAAGAACATTCTACTTCAATGCCTTTTGGGACACATATGTACACATGCCTGTGGATGGAGACCCAAAGAAAGAAGTGGAATTGCTGGACTATAGGGAGGCATGTACTCAGCTTTAGCAGATGCAGTGAAACTGTTTTGCAAAGTAAACTGTGCCAATTTACACCCTGCCAATAGCACAGGAGAGTCCCTGCTACCCCACAACCTTGTCAACTCTTGAGACTGTCTGGGAGCCCCTGCATTTCATCTGTTCACTTGTCTGTTTCACTTATTAGAGTGAGAGGATGCTGTCTCTGGCCCCTGGCCCATAGAAGACACAAATGAATGAGAGGATAATGAAGGGGACTGGGAAAAAGGAAAAGGAAGGAAGGAAGGAGGGAAGGAAAGAGGGAAGGAGGGCAGGAGGAAGGGGGAAAGAGAATTCAGCTAGGAAGCAGGTGAATATTTCCACGCTGTGGGGCTCCACGCTGGGACCCCCAGAGGCCAGTGCCTGCTGAGGCCCAAGCTTTGGTTTGTGGCTCACCCTGCAACATCAATGCGCCCTGAAAATGAAAAACTAAACAAGTTTCTTTCTCAACAGTTTAATTTCAGGATAAATCTCCTAAACAATAGTGCGGAGTTTGGAAACTGTTGAGAGTGGTGGAGGACAGCAGGATCCTCTGGGTCACCGCAGAGTGGGGGGGCAGCGCCCAGTGGGAAGGGGCTCCAGGAAACCTTTGAGATGGGCTGGCTGAGCAGACAGCCTCAGGGGCCGAAACCCCTGCCCTAGACGTGCCCGCACTGTCTCCTGTCCAATACCATCCCCACGTTCTTCCTCCTCCAGCAAGTAGGGGCAGGGCCCTCAGTCCTTAGCCAAGGCCAGACACCAGGGCTGGGCCCACCAGACAGAGGCAGGTGCCACTGAGACAGGGGCTCCCCCAAGACGCCAGGGCTGGAAATGCCTCCCAGGGAGGTGGGAAATGAGCCTGGTGGGACCTTGAACAGTCATGGCCACCCTGCCTGGCTGCATGGCCCCAAAGCCAGCTGCCCCCACCCCACCCCTGGCAGCTTAGCCCAGACTCAGGTGTCAGCCAGAAACTAGATGTGCCAGGGCAGGTTGGATAGGAGAACTTGTTTCCTCTGCTTTGCCGGCCTGGTGCCCACCTTGGCTCTCCTGATGCAGATTCAGCACTTGAAGAAGCAGAGAGGAGCTTTGGTCTGTACTCCATGCAGGAATCCCATTCCTGGATTTTCTGAGATCCTTAAATCCTCGAGGGACACAGACCTCACCACCCATACTCCGGCTATGCAGCTTTGACACAATAAAAGCCACCCTTTTTTGCAACTTCTTATGGGACCAGGCACTGTGTTGATTTACATACTTCATTTCACCTTGACTCCATGAAGCAGGTACTATTATCACCACCCATTTTTCAGATGTGATAACTGAGGCTTACAGCCATTAAGTATCTTGACTAAAATTACATATATATATGTGTGTGTGTGTGTGTGTGTAATTACAGAATTACACACACACACACACACACATATATATATTTCCTACTTCTGTCCAGTGGAAGGGCCTAGAAGCTGTGACACCTCAAGAGCAATCAGCACACTCAGCACCCAGATAATGGTTTCTAGATACCACTCTTCCAAAAAAAGGAACCACGATCCTTAGAGAAATGGTTGATTCTAGCTCTGAGTCAGGGAGAATACAAGATGAACCTGGAGCATCTTGTATACCAGACAGTAAGGAAATGCACAAATATAAATAGATAGGACAGGGGATGTCAAACAGGAGCTAATCTGAAAGAGCTCCTGATGGACAAAGCTGGAATAATTTGAACAACAAAATTAATAACTTAGTACTGAATTAAAACCCAAAGGATAAGATAAATAAAGATCATGTCATGTGGACAGAAATAAATGATTGATTAAATAAATGAGGGAAAGAAACACATCTTTCTTACAGAAGAATTCCAAATAACATACATAGATATTTCCTCCACAAGGTAGGAACCCATTTGAGTGTGGGTTCCACTTGCTTCCAAAGAACAGAGTATGGAAAGGGGAAAATAGTAGCTTCACAGTGGGAAAGCCTGGCAGACACCAGCTTAAACATATAATCAAGGTGAACGTCACCAGTAATAAGTCACATGGCTATCACGTGCCTCCTGAGATCATATGAGGAGGGGGCCACTTCACCTCTGTGGTATTCTTCCTCCAAACCGTAACTCCTACCCAGTCATGAGAAAAACGTCAAATAAACCCAAATGGAGGGACAGACTGGTAAAATACTGACCAGAACTCCTCCAAATTGTCAAGGTCATGACAAATAAGGAAAGACAAAGAAACCACTGCACACCAGAGGAGACTAAGGCGATGTGACAGTGACATGCAATGTGGGATCCTGAGTTGGATCCTGGAAACAAGAAAGAACATCAGCGGAAAAACTGGTGAAACCCGAATAAAACCTGGAGTTCAGTTAATAGTCATGTACCAATGTTGGTTTCTTAGTTTTGACAACTGGACCACGGCAATGCACAATGATAATAACAGGGAAGGCAGGGAAAGGGGTGTACAAGTCTATACAATCTTTGCAACTTTTCTGTAAATCTAAAATGATTCCAAAGCAAAAGCTTTATTTTCAAAAATCACACAGATTGTAAATGCCTGAGCAGAATTCAAATTCAAATGCGTCTGCCTCCTTAGCCCACACACCTGCACCATCTCACAGCAGAAAGCCATTCCCAAAGGCTTCTTCATGGGCCTGAGCTCGTCCCCATCTGCCCATTTGCCTTCTAGGACCTCCCTCACTCATCTATTGTCTTCGCCCCGTGAACTCCTTTTGAGGAATGATGGATGCTCCTGTTCCCCCAAGTGTGTTCACATCTTCATGCACATTATTCCTCCACGCTCTTGGGGGACTTGGGTTTTGATAATTATTGGTCTCTTTGGTATCTAGCCTCCTTTGCAGCAACCACCAAATTCCACTTGGGGATCCATGGAGTTCCAAGGAAGGTAACTCCCCAACCTGGCTCCAGGGATAAAACACATGACCTCAGCTAGGTCTATCAGCATACTCCATTCCTTGACCACCAAGATCAGCCCAGAGGTAGCCGTGTGACCCAAGCTGGTCTGATTAGAGAGCATCGTAGGATTTGGACAGGGAATGCTGGGACAAGGACAATTCCCTTCTTCCATATTGGACATGAATGAAACCCTTGGGAACTTCATGATGAAGCCAAGATCAAGGACATCAGAACAGAGAAATGGAAAGAGCCAGGTCCTCAGCGACATCAATGAGCCACTGGATCAAGCCTTGCCTGAACCTCACATGGCTTCTACACGTCTCAGTTATGGGAACTCTGGTAGGCTGAGAAACGGTCCCCCAAAGATATCCATGTACTAACCCCTGGAACCTGTGAATGTTGTCTTATATGACAAAAGAAGGTGGAGTCTGAACGTGCATTTTAAATTAAGGATTATGAGATGGTAAGATCATCTGGGTGGACCTCAAATGCAATCATATGTATCCTTATAAGAGGGTAGCAGAGGGAGATTTGACATAGACACAGAAAAGCAGTCAGCATGACCGTGAAGGCCAGGATCGGAGTGACGCCACTGCAAACCACGGAACGCTGGCAGCCGCCAGAAGCGGCAAGGACCAATCCCCCCAGAGCACATGTCCAGTGCCGGACAGAGCGCAGCCCTGCCGACACTGGGACTTTAGCCCAGTGATACTTACTGACTTCAGACTTCTGGCCTCCAGAACTGTGAGGGAGTAATGTTCTGTTATTTTAAGCCACTTAGTTTGTGGTAATTTTTTCCCGATCTTTAGCTGGGGAAATGAGGCTGAAGGCGGGGGACGGCAGCATCAGATGGCTCAGACACCAAGCAAAGGCATTATGGGAGTTTATTTACAGATAAGTCACAGCAACCAGGGTCCAGGCAGGATCTGGCCAGAAGAACCCAGACAAATACATATAGGTCCCAGCCCCCATCAGCACCAGAGCTGTTCCCAGCCAGGCCCCTGCCAGAGGGACCAAGACTCAGGCAGCGTGGAGGGAGTGGGCCCCAGTCCTTTCCAGGTATCAGAGGTCACCTGCTGTGGCCCCCATGCCAGAGGAAGAAACTGGCCTCTGTCCTGGAATGTGGACATTGAGGAGCATGAGTAAAGGCTTATTCTCAATGGCAGGCCACAAAACAGAAGTCCCAGCAGCGGCTTGGGGCATGGAGTCATCGCAGACCTGTCCGGAGTCTAGGCATGGAGCTGGTGTCCCAGGCCGTGGCTGCCCATCACACAGGGGGCTCCCCCAGTTTGCTGGTAGCACTTGTGACCCGTTTATTCTCCCGGAGGTTTCGGAGGCGGGCACTGAGGCTGCTGATCTCTTCCACATAGGCCTGGGGCACCCACCCTTTCTCACCATCTGCCAGGCGGACCCCTTCCAGCCAGCCTAGGGAAACACACAGGCCAGGAGCAGCATCAGCGTCATCACAGGGACACGAGGGCCAGGTCTGTGAGGGAACCCCTAGCCTGATGCAAGCCTCATCTGCACCCCTGGGGTCACGGTGACATCTCAGCATCTCCCAACTCCAGGAAGGACCCTGCCTCCAGGGGTCTTAAAGATAAACTTTAGACCTATTTTTCCTGACATCCTCTAAGGAGGGTATTTCCCACTCTGCCTGTCAGTCACTCTCAAGCCTACATCCGCATAAGCGGGAAGTTCCTCCTCCTGTCTAACTTGATTTCTGCATGCTGTGGTTGATCAACACTTGCATAACTTTTTCCTGTGATGTCTTGGTCATCTAGCTGCCTCCTTCCCCTCCAGCCCCATCAGGAAGGCCTTCCCAGGAGGCCCCTCTCACCGTCACTGGTCCAGGTCCTCACTGCCAGGATGTCTGTCTTCTCCAAGGTCAGCTCGTCTGGCTGCAGTGCCTTGTACGTCCTGACACACTGAACCTGGGGGCGGTCTGACAGCCCAAGGGACAGTGAGGCTGTCCCCAGGGCAGGACAGGGCGGTGGGGAGAGCAGTGGGAGGAAGTAAGGGGTGGAAGGGTAGCTGCTGCTCTTTCGTGCCCTCTGTCCCTCTCTCTGCCCACCACAGCCACTCTCCTCCTCTCAGCCTCAACACAAGCCCTAGGTGAATCCAGTACCTCCCAGCTTCGGTGGCTGCTTCTGTGCCCAGGGCTCTCACCTCCCCAGCCCAATCCAACACCTCACTGCTGACCTCCAGGCCAATTTCCATCGGCCTTAGACACCCATGAAACACTAATGGCCCTTTACGTGCCCCCTGACGCTACTCTGCTACTGCCTCCCATCCATACTTCTCAAATGGATTCCAGCCACATCACTCCCCCACTGATAACCCTCCAGGGCACGCTAGCTCCCTCCTGCCTCAGGGCCTTTGCACTGGCAAAGTGTTCCTCCTCCCAGGAGTGCTCTTTCTGAGATGTTTTCATGGCTGCCCTTCCTCATCCTTCAGGGACCTTCTCTGACCACCTCCTTGGAGTGGGAAGCTCACCCTGCAGCCCAAACACAACTCCTGGTTCTAGCCAGAGCCCCTGCTTCAATCGAGGCCCTCAGCTCTCTCCACCATACAAGGCAGGCTGGCTGTATCAGGAAAACCACAGGCTCTGAGGCCAGACCTGGCTTGACTCCCAGCTCTGCTACCTCGTGTGACCTTGGACAAGTTACTTAACATTTCTGAGCAGCAGTTTTCTCAGATATGAAAAATGAGTCTACCTAATAGGGTTGTTGTGAGGATTAAGTAAAATAAGTGCAAATACAAAGCCCCTAGCCCTGGGCCTGACACATGGCAGGTACTGAGTAGAAATGAATCTCCTTCTTTGCCCTTCATTAGTTCAGCCCTAACCTCCCGGCTCAGAAACTTTCAGTAGCCACCTAGTACCCACTATATTAAGGTCCTCCATGATTGGGCTGCAACTGGGCTTGCTAACCTCACTTCACACCCAGAGGAAAAGCCTCTACAGCAACAGAGAAGGTCCTGCCACCCTGCCAGCCTACACAGCCTGCCACCTGCTTCCCATCTTCTGGGCAACTCGGGCAAGACATGGGTTCTAGTCCCATCTCTGCCATTTACTAGCTGGGTGGACTTGAACAAGTCACTTCCCTCTCTGAATCTGTTTCCTAACTTATAAAATATGCTTCTGTGGGGATGAAATGGGAGGATATAAAAGGTTTTGTCATTGCCAGTGTGCTGTCTGTGCACGTGGGGGTCGGTCTGGCCTATGTACTTCCTGCCCGGCCTTCAGGTTCCCACAGATCCACCCCTGACTGCCCCAGACCAGTTGATCTATCTTTCCACCAGCTCTGCTGACAACAGGACACAGGATGCTACCTTCCCCCTCACTGATGACCTCCTTGTCCTCCTGCGGGCTGGAGGGGCACATGGCTGAGATCCATCGCCGCTTCTCACTTCTGGGGAGGGGGAGGCTGAGCTGTCACAACATGCAAAGGGGAATCTCCCAGGGCCAGGGCAGCAAAACTGGGGCTAGCAGAAGCGGGTATGAGGTGCAGACGCGGGACCCAGGTCATGAATTCTCTGCCCCAGGGCCCGCCCCACAGCCCTGCTCCCAAACCTAGGCCCCACCCAGCTTTAAGCTGAAGAACAGAGCAGGCCCAGAACCCCATGGGTGCCAGCTCTGCCCATGTCCTGCCTCGTGCCACCATCCTGAAGGCAGAGATAAAGGGTCTCGTGCCTGTCTAGAAGTCCTCTCTCCCAGACCCAGGCCCACTCACTCGGTCCGGGCCCTCAGCAGGAACTGGTGCTTTGCGTGTTGCCCAGGGAGGAGTTGAAGGAGGAACACATGGCCAGGGATGCCCTGGAGCTTGAGGCTGAGGTCCTTCACCTGCAGCTCGGCCATCGTGGCATGGACGAAAACAGCAAACTTCCCCAGCCTGCAGGACCCGGAGGCAGGGTCAGCCAGGCCCTACCTCAGCACCAGGGCAGTCCTGACTGGAGGCGTGGAGAAGGGGTTGTCTGCCCATAGCACCTCCCCAGGGAAATCTGGCTCCTCACCCTGCTAGCCAGCAAAGTCCCCAAGGAACTGGGAGCTCTGTTCCTGCCAGCACAGCGGGGCAGGTGAACGCAATGAAGCACCAGTCCACAGGCATGATTTCAAGCTCTCTCTGAACCTTCTCACCCCTTCCCTCCCTTCCCCCCAACACCCAACCAGCAGCTCTGTCCTGTCTGTGTCCTCATTGTTCCTGGAAGCCTCTTATCCCCAATCCCCACCACTTCTGGAGCGTCTCCTCTCTC